TTTCTCTCCGGGGGGTTCCCCCCGCACCCCCCCGCCACGCTGACCACAGCATTCACTATGAGGTAAAAACCACCCACCCTGTGCCTCCGTGAGCAAGTCTATAAAATGGGATTGCTAAGGTTCATAAGATGACCTGACCAATTCTACAAGATAGACAGGAACCTTCTAATCTTCCCCAAACAGAAGGGGAGCTTTCGGTTATTTCTTTCCTCTAATAACAGAGAAAAGGTCCAATAGGATTAGAAGACCCTCAGTCAGCTAAATTCAATGATTTTTTGTTGAGGAGTTAATCCTCACTTGAGGATATTTTTTCTACTGATTTTTAGAGAGTGGAAGGGAGGAAAGAAGAGAGAAAGAAACATCGATGTGAGAGAGACACAGCAATTGATTGCTTCTGGCATGTACCCTGACCAGGGCCGGGATGGGAGGAAACTCAGGTACATGCTCTTGGCTGGGAATCGAACCCGTGACCCTTTGATGTGCGGGCTGACATTCTAACCAGGGAGCTACATCAGCCAGGGCTAAATGCAATTTTTATTTCTTTTTAATTTTAATTTTAACTTTGTATATCTTTTTTTTCTAAGTTAAATTTTTAATTGAATTCATGAATTCTGACTTCCCAGCTGTCAGGTGCTCTGGGCAGAGCTTCTCGACCTGGTCAAGCTGGTCAGAACCATTAGGAACAGAGTCCACAGGCCAACCCCATCCCGGGAGCAGCAGATTCAGCAGATTAGGGATTCTGTCTGAGACAAGAAACCAACAACTGGGAGCCCACCTGTGAGATCTGTTAGAGGCAGAAAGCCTTGTCTTCCACTTTCTCCCTCTTCCTCAGACTACTTCCTAAAAAAATAAATGCAATGAATAAATAAAGACAGTTTTCAAGATGTTCACAGAAGGACTTTTTTTTTTTTTTTTTACATTTTTCAACTAGTTAATACAAAAACATTACAACGATTGACTTCTTTCATTTAGTTACATAAATAAAACTTTTTATAAATATCTCTTTATAAACAATATAAATAACTTTAGAACATAAATACATTTATGCATGACATGAATTTACACACAGCAATGTTTACAGCTGGTTCTGTCAGTCTCTGAAAAACTGTCCCTTGTCATCACGTCGGTGTAGGTGTGTGTTTCATGTATATTATATATGTAATATATATAACTTTTTATTTTTCATTTTCATAAACAAACAAACAATAGAATCATACCCCCTCCCCCAATAATAATAGAACAGCTGGTGTTGCCTATTCCCAGTACCGCAGGGAAGAAAGAAGAATGTAAAAGCCACGCTGCCTCGGAGTTGCTTCCAGATGACCAAGGATAATCTCAGTGAAACGGAGCAAGTTCCCAAGCCTGAAACACAGAGGGGACACGGGACACTCAGTGCTGGCCCTCAGCTGAGAGAGCCCGGCCTGCCAGGCCGCTCTGAAGCCGTCCTCCCCTTTCCCAAAGCAGCAGGAAGCAGTGTCCCTCCACCTGTGCCCCAGGTAGGAGAGGGGCCCTTCCATGCCACCCTGTCCTAGCCTCATCTCTCCTCCACTGTGACACTGGCACTTCCTGCCCCAGCACAGGTGGAACCAGAATGTCTGCCAGCCCCCGCCCCCCCACCCAACTGCTGGCCTTGCCCTTGGCTCCGGGAAACATGGTGAGGGGAGGGGGATGGAGAATACCCTCTTTCCTGTTCTTACTACGACACAAACCCTCCATCAGGTGCCTGCTTCAGCTGTATGTGTCTGCATGACAGTGGAGGGAAACGAAACATCTGAGGAATCAGGAATTCTGGGCTCAAACCCCAGCTCTGATATTTATTTCCTGGATGGCCCTGGAGAGCTTTGAGTATGGATTTCCTCTCCCATAAAATGGGATAATAGCCACCTCCCAGGGTGTACAAGGGGCCATGCAGAGCGTCTGGGTCACAGCGGCCACTCAGTAAATAGCACTTGCTTCCCCAGCTGGCTTCACCTCAAAGGGTCTCCTTCTGAAGCAGAGGAGCTGGTGTCTCAGCAGCACATGGGGTGTGCTGGGTTAGAGCGATAACCCCAGAGTCATTTGATGCGGGCTGTACCATCTTTGCTATTAGGTGTACAGGTGCTTTGGGGTGGAGGAAGGCATCCTCCTGAGAGGTGTGGTGCCCCCCCGAAAGAACAGTCATTGCAGAGGGACCCCGGGCCTCAGTGGCCTGATGAACTCTCCCACAGCTCCCTTTTCTGACCGTCTCCTGTGTTTAAACAGATGACAGATGTCTGTGATGTCCCTGGGGCCCATGGGCAAGGTGTTCATTCAGGCATTGGCCCCACCCAGTCTCTGTCATTACCATTTTATAATCAAGACTATAATCATCAGCGACAGTCATTAGGGTGGCTGCTTAGAGCTAAGGTCATGGGGATGGGAGGTGAGGGTGGGGTTCAGAAGGTTAAGGGTGTTGGAGGTGGGTGTTCAGCTAAAAGACAACTTTCAGGAGGTTGACCAAGTTCCCTGGACAAAAGGGTTGAGAAGTTTCAGTGATCTAGATTCCTCCTGCACAGCACCCATTGGGTCATCATCTGGTACCCACGGACAGGCACACCCAAGGACAAGGAGCCTCCGGGGACATGCATACCAGGGCCTTTCCAGGCCCTCACCTCATCTCCTGCTAACCCATAGAATAACATTTGTTTAGATTCTAAAGTTTGAGCTTGGTGCTTAAGTCACAAATGAAAAAACTGAGGCCTGTGTCTCCCAACTCGTTGTTGTTTAGACTGGAGAAAAGAGAGCAAAGTCAATACAGTGATAGCCACTGCAGTCTGGGCCCCAAATGACAGAGTCACCTATCCCTTGGCAGGGATGAGTCCGACAAACAGAGCCAAGTCTGGCTGCAGAGAGAGGAAGGGCACCAGCTAAAACCTTAGACAGGTGGGAGAGGAATGCCCAGCTGGGTGGGGCAGGGTTCTCTGGTCACTGACACAGGGATGTTTCAGGTCACCTTCTGTTAACATCTGGCCCTCAGTTGCCCATGAGTTAATCTGAGGAGGCATCTATAGCTCAGGTGAAAAAGTGTTCTGGCCCTAGCTGGTTTGGCTCAGTGGATAGAGCGTTGGCATATGGACTGAAGGGTCTCAGGTTTGGTTCCAGGCAAGGGCACATGCCTGGGTTTCAGGCTCGATCCCCAATAGGGGGCATGCAGGAGGCAGCCTGTCAATGATTGTCTCTCATCATTGATGTTTCTACCTCTCTCCCTTTCTCTCTGAAGTCAATAAAAAAAATTTTTTTTTAAAAAAAGGGGTGCTGTAATGTAACCTCACAGTGTGGTCTGATCATAAATTCCTAATTGTGCAGGTCATGGTGGATAGTCACACCTCAGGCCTATACCTTCCCTAGTAAAATGTTTATCTTTGCCCTAAACTAGCCCTGCCCATTTTTGTGTATCGAGGTCAACACTGTGGAAATGCCACAGTGATCCTCTTTTTCAGACCCCTCAGAGGCATAACCACCCTTGAGAGAACAGTAATCTTAACTATCCTGTAATCCAACCCATGCCTTGCTTTCTCCCATCTTCCTGTAATCTTTCTTACATTCTTGTTCCTTAATTTCAAATGTATAAAATAAACTGCTAAACTGTGTGTGTGTTTTTCAGAGCAAGATTTGAGATCTTGCTTCCTGGCAATGTCGGTTTAGCTCAAATAAACTCTTATAACAATTCTCTACAGATTTGGACATTTCTTATGTGGACAACTGTGAAAAAGGCTTAGGCCATGTGCTGGAGAGTTTTAAAAGGGTCTTCTCATTACCCGCTGGGGGGACAGGGTGTGGACACTGGTAAGACTTCTTAGGTGAGAGGGTAGCTTGGCCTGGAGTGGTACAGACAGGCTGCAGGATATGGCTGGAAACCAGTAGGGGTCAGATTCTAAAGTATTTGAGTGTCAATTTCAAAGGTGGGGACATGGTTTTTCCTTGGGCACTGATGGGCAGCAGGAATGCAAAGAAGATAAGGAGAGGAGGTGAGGACCTTTGCCACAATACATTTTCAGGCTGTGGCACCTGGCAGGAGCGGAAGGTAGCATGGGGTTTCTAGCCCTAGTGGAGAGTGAGGAGGCCATGCAGGAAACAGGGAGCCCAGGTATGACGGGCATGGGAAGGTTGACGAGGAGCTCAGTTTGGGACACGTAGGTTGAGTTTGCAAAATGTAAGATTTATTTTAGTGTCTTTTCCCTTGCCCTGAAATAGTGCCACAAACACTGAGGTTCGATCCTGAAGTCACAAGGGCTGCAGCAGCATCAGGACCCTGGACAGACAGTCTGCCCACAGCCACTGTTTAGAGAAGGGACAAGAATCAGAATGCTCTGGGGCCAGAAAAGCTCTCTGGTGATGCAAACAGCGGGCTATTCTGGCTACAGTAAGGGGGCAGGTATTTCTCCAAGTCTGTCCCACTTTAGGGACAAAAGACCTAGGAAACATCCTGACCTCTGAGCAACCTACTGCCTGGCACCACGATACAATGGTTGGCAGACAGACTTGTCCTGGGCTTGTATGTATGCTCTTCCTCCTCTGTTCCCACAAACCCCAGATCTCCCCTCCACGCTCCCATTTGGCAAATTGGGGCCAGTGCTGCTAGTCCACTTATGGTCCGAGATGGCCGGAGCCCTCCAAACTGTCTCTGCTTCTCTGGAGAAAGCCAGGGGCGTCCATCTATCCTGAACCATTTCTGACCTTTCCAAAGTTCCCTCACTCCATCCCTCATTTATCCATCTGTAAAATGGGATGATAAATAGGTTTGGGGGCAAATGACTAGCACACACATGATCTCATGTCCGTGTGCCTGGTTCCCCTCCAAAGGCCATGGGAGGTGGATGGGTCCCAGGGCTAGGGGATCAGAGGAATCGGCCTGGGGCGGTGAGGGGTGGGGGGTTGGAGGGGTTAAGGCTAGATTCTGGCGGGCGCTGAGGGGGAGCTAGGTGTACTGGAGCGCCAGGCGGCCAGGTTGGTGGTACTCACCTCCGCCAGGGGTCGCCGCACTAACATCCCAAGCCACTATGGGCGCCGATCCGGTCCAGCTTATGGCCGAAGCAGTTATTGCCCGAACTGGGGTATTTTCTGCGAAGGCGGGTCCAACGAGTCTTGGTGTCCTGGAACCGGCTGCCCCTGAAGCTGACGGCACCGCGCTTCCTCTGACCGCCGCTCTCAGCCTGGGACGCGGCTGCCACCTCCCCTAGCGGGGTTCGCGGGCCCTGTCCGAGAAAAAGAGCAGGCAGGTGAAGGGACGCACGTCGGCAGCGAGGGGGAGGTTGGAGGGAGACTTTCTGGGGCCCCTGATGCTCCAGCCGGAGGCGCCCGCCAGTGCGATTTGTCCCTTCCGAGTCCTGAGCGCGCCCCTAGAGATGCCGACCGTTCGGCACTGCATCCACCTGCCACGCGGCCATGGTTGTCCGCTCCTTCGGGGAGCCCCTTACCCTCCCTTCTTTTGCCGCTTGCCCGGCAGGCCACACTGGGTAGGTGCTGCGCATCTATCGACATTCTCCCGACGCTGGGGACGTAGACCCCTGAATCCGAGCTTCCAGGGCTCCCAGTCTGCCTCCCAAGCTCATCTCAGAGGAGAGGACCGCCTTACCACCCTCTCTGCTCCCTCTTGGGGGCCGCATCTCCTAGACCCCCAGCCCGCCCACACAGCCTCTCACAGTCCCGACATCCCCGCGACAGCGCCCACCTTCGATGGCACACCGGGCTTGGCTTCGGATTGCCAGAGCGAGAGTAGGGCGAGCAGCAGGGCGCAGGCCAGCAGTTGGGAGAGGTGCATGGTGCCCTTGAGGTGGAGGGGCACACGCAGGCGGCAGCAAGAGCAGATGCCCAGGCAAACGCGGAGCGGGCTGGCGGGGCTGCTGTGTGAGCGCGGGTCCCAGAGCTACGCGGTGCCGACTGGGTGCGCTCTGAGCCCGCAGCTCCGCTCGCGCCTTTATAAATCCAACCTGCCGCTGATGTCATCCCCCCGCCCACACGGCCGCCCGGGCCAATGGCACGCGCTCCGAGGGCTGGGAGGGGGCTGCGGGGGCTCCCTCTCTGCCCCCCCCCCCCATCTCACCCCGGAGAGATCCCGCGGCTTGGCGGGCTCTCTTCCGATTGCACTCGGAGCTAGCTGCAAAGCGGCGCGCACAAGGGAACTCCATTTGCAGTAAGCGCGCGCGCTGGCGTGCCTAGCGCCGGTACTCTGGCTGCCCTGCCTACACGCTTGGACCTCAATACACACCCTCTCCCTGGAAGGGATCAATTCCCGCTGGGCAGGTGCAAAGACAGGCTCAGAGGAATTAAATCACTTGCCCAAAGTCACACGGCCACAAAGTTGGCACAGCCCGAAATCCGCGCAGATCTGCCTTGTTGCCAAACTCTTCCCTGGGCGCCTGACAGGCTCAGGCCTGGGGTTGCGGCTCCACCTTTTACCTGCTCGCCGGGAGTTCAGATCGCACGTATGCCTTTGGAATCCGGAGCAAGAGAACACGGTCGGAGGTTTAGGCGCAGGGGGAGCAAGGGTATCGTGGTTTGCCCGGGGTCGCAGCGGGGAGCGCAAGTCCTACACAGGAGAGTGCAACCTTTTCGCCCGCCCCTCGGTGTGTTTGAGAGCGAAGAGCGAATTAGGTGGGCTACCAAGGCAGACCCGAAATGCGAGTGCTTCTGCGTGTGTGCGGTGGCATGGTGTGACAGCCCCTGGGGCTCTCAAGTGCGCATTCAGCCCGGCTCCGCGGTACATAATAAAGTCCCTGCGTCTGACCCGGCGCTGGCTTCCGTCTGCACTGACAGGGGCACGCCTGACCCTGTCTGCACCCACGCGAGGATCCACAGGGTGGGTTGTTCGCTCCAGAGTCCTGTGCACCTGCACAAGCTGCAGAGGCTTCTTTAGTCAGCCCCGATCCTCGTCCGGCTCCGGTGAGCTGTGACAGGTGGTCGCCTTCACGCTGTGACAGGTGGTCGCCTTCCCGTTTTCGCCATAGAGAGGTCTGTGGGACATGGCCTGCTGCCCACGATTCCCTCCGGCAAGGCGTCCGATCCCTCGGGCTCTGAGGAGTCCCTTGGGGATGGGCCGCCAGGCGGAGAGCCCAGTATCCCAAGAATTGAGTGAGATGCAGGAAAACTATGCCTCCGCTGCTTCTCAGCAGGGCTGGGCTGGAGAGCGGAGAACTCCGGAAGAGGGAGGAAGCTCCAGGTGGGCGATGAAGTCCTCCTTTTGGCCTCCTGAACAAAGAATGTGGCCCATCTGGAACTTCTCCCCGAGACTCGAGACTCGCGTTATTTACAGGGGCTTAAGGAGCCGGGCAGACTGACTCTAGAGCAGTGGTTCTCAACCTTCCTAATGCCGCGACCCTTTAATACAGTTCCTCATATTGTGGTGACCCCCAACCATAAAATTATTTTCATTGCTACTTCATAACTGTAATTTTGCAACTATTATGAATCGTAATGTAAATATCTGATATGCAGGATGTATTTTCATTGTTACAAATTGAACATCATTAAAGCATAGTGATTAATCACAAAACAATATGCAATTATATATGTGTTTTCCGATGGTCTTAGGAGACCCCTGTGAAAGGGTCGTTGGACCCCCCAAAGGGGGCGCGACCCACAGGTTGAGAACCGCTGCTCTAGAGCCAGGCACTGGGCTAGTTTCTATGGGCCAAGGTGCAGTGGCAGCCTCCAGTTGCTAAGACAACCCGGATTCCAGGAATGAGTCCCCCCCCAACCCCTCACCTTAGTAGAGGAAACTGCACCAGAGGCAGGAAGGCAGCCGGAATCAAGAGGTAAAAGAATCAGGTGGTTCTGCAGGGGAGCCTGGACCCAAAGCCAGGAGGCAACAGCTCTCTACATCCCACCCTGGCACATCCAGTCAGAAAATGCCCACCAACCAATTGTGCCCCTAGCACCTTTTGCTTAAGAAATAACCTACACCCGAGGCCTGAGTTTGGGTAGAAGAATCTCCTGCTTTTGAAGAGGATCCAGACATGAGCAGGGCATCCTATGTGAGTTCTGGTGAGTTGACTCCCCACATCCACACAGGCCCCCCAGATTGCCTCTTCGAGGTAACATTTGTAGAGTGGCACCACTCTTTCTATGAGGAGAAAGGAAGAGGAAAGGATCTGCAGATGGCAATGAAAGTCCCTTTTCCTCTTTGCTTACTGGACAAAAAGGAGTGTAAGCAATCTGGAACTTCTCTGAGACTTGCCTTATTTACGCCGGCTATGTCTGGCAGACTGACTCTAGAGCCAGGCACTGGGCTGGTTTTTGGGGGCCATGGCTACAGCCTCTGAAATCCCTTATGAAGGACAGGTTGGAAGCTTCCAGTGCTCCATAGTCACCTCCTTCTGTAGGCTGGTTCTTCCTGTCTTTGTCTCTTGGATGTACTTGGTGACAGCGGGCAATGATCTAGGACTCCCTGTCTTTGAGAATAAATCAAAGTGAACTGTGGAGCAAGGCTTCCCTGGGGCAGGCTATACAGCCGCTCCTGCTGAGCCTGGGAGGTGGGGTGAGACGACGTTCTAGGCCTGGGCTAGAGGGACATTCAGGGAGGGAGGTGGTCGGCACATAACTGTCTTTGCAACATAAGCCATAATTGCATACACTAGCCTTTTTTATTAATTATGATGATATTGTTGCTGCTAGTAAAAGAGTTAACTGAGAATATGATGTTAAATCAGTTAGGGGAGTCAGAAAATCTCAGATACAGGTGTCAAGTGGCCAAGATTTCACACACACACACACACACACACACACACACACACACACACATCCCTGCTCTTCATTGGTTTCATTGCACAGGAAGCTGCAGAGGAGACTCTGTGTTCCTCCTGGGCCTAGACTGGGCACTCAGGTCCTTCCTGCTTTTTCTTCATGAGGTCTACTTCTTCTGCTCTGGTCCCAGGAGCCAGGCCTGGGAAGGCTGGACCCACTGAGCAGCTGAACATGAGCTGTTCGTGGCACTTGATTAAATGCTCAGTGTGAAAAGCCCTGATGGTAGAGGAAAGAGAACAGGCCTGGCAATTCCGCAGGGGATCCTGTCATTTGCCACTTTTCCACCCACTGAGTCCCCAAGGATCCACTGAGCATCCCTGCAGCCTGCAAAGCTCCAACCGGGCTAGGAAGAACCCCCAGGAAACAGACACCAGCTCTGTAGGCTGGAAAGGACGTGGCAGGGAGGGAGGGCAGCTCCCGCAGCCTGGGCTAGAGGGCGAGCTTCCTGGAGAAGGAAAAGCCTGTGCGGAGCCAGGAAAGGAGACCCAGCAGAAGGAGAGAAGGGAAATCTAGATGGAAAACAGCAGCTTCCCATTGGGCTAAGGGGGAATGCACTCAGGCTTAGAGGGATGCAATAAAAGAAAAACAACCAAATGAGAGATTGCTCTCACTAAAGGGCAACCCAGTGAAACTGAGGGGAGCCGAGAGGGCCTGATGTTGCAGAACCCAGCGTGCTCAGACCTAAGGAAAAAAGGTGGGGGGGAGGCAGCATTCAGGTAGCGGTAGCCAGAGGAGGCAGGCTTGAGAGACAGGCAAGTCTGTGGTGGACAGTTCTGGAGGCAGGAGATGTGATAAAGTTGGGGAGGGGCTTGTCTTCCAAAAGTGGGAGCCTACTGAGCTCTTGGGGGTGCGGAGCGCAAGCAAGCCTGGGGGTCATAAAAGAGGAGGCTGAGGGAGAGTGGTCAGTTGTGGGGACACAGAGAGGGAGCAAGGAATGGGGAAAGTCAGAGTCAGGCTGAAGTGTGCCAAGGCCTAGGCATCAGAGAATTGCATAGCCGGGACCCTCTTCTCCCTCCTGGACTTCTGAAAGGTGGGGACATGGAGAGAAAAGATTTCATTTTTGTGAGTCCCTCTTCCCTTTTTCTCCTCCTCCACGAAGGGCAAGGTAAGGCTCTTGCATCTACCACGGACAGGCCCTTCCTTGGGACAGTCGATGTTCGGTTCTTTAGCAGGACCCTATGGGAGACGAGAGTGGGCCTTGATGAGGATACCTCCGGTGAGAAAGGTGCACAAAAAGGCTCCTGAGAGGATGCAGAAGGGATGGCGAAGGCAGGATTGTCCAGCACCCCTTTCCCAGAAGGTGGTAACCAGCTCCCTTTGGAACAGCACCCCCTCCTGGCCCTGGGGCCAGACAGAAGGATTCTCAGGCACACTGAGGAGGGAGGATTGCTCAGCCGCCCATCTGTTTTCTCTGTAATTATTTTATCCCAGAGGCCTCCTTCCAGCTGCATAACTTCCCAGAGAGGACACTGAGCAGGCGGTGAGCAGATCTCATGAAGGCCAGGCAGGGAAATTGCAATAGGACCCTGGCCAAGTCCCATCACTGCATGGGGCCTTCAGTTTCACCACCTATAATTGGGAAAAAGCAGAGTGAATCAGGAGGCCGGAAGAGAGGCTTCTGACCCCTGGATGAAGGCAGGACAAAGCAGCTGTGGCAGAAGAGGGCTCTGCATGTTACTGCACAAACACACACACACTCCCACACAGGGGGACCCTGTATCTCCTGGACTCCCTGGGACTGCTTGGTGGTGGGGACCCATGGAAAACATAGAGGCCCTGGCCTGGCTGGGTCTCCTTGAGCTTGGAACCCTCTCCAGGAGTCCTGCACCTATAGGGTCTGGCATTAGGAGAGGAATTGGAGGCCAAGGAAGCATCATCCATCCTTCCTGGGCCAGAAATTCCAGGAAAGCTTAACCTCATCGTGACATGAGGTCTTTGTCTGACCCCAGGACACTCCCACCTGATGAGCCAGCTGCTCTCTTTTTCCTTTCCCAGGGGCCCTGCCAGCACCTGCTGCAG